GAAAAAAAATTTTTGTGCACGTTAAAAATTAAAAAATCAATAACTTGGAAAATTTACATATCATATTAAAAAGAAAAAATACGTGTCATTTTTTTTCCTTTCTAGAACGAGAAAAAAATTTTCAGGCGAATCAAAATTTTGATTGTAAATCTGATATGGAATGACCCATATGTATGTAATTAGTAAATTCTTTGCTTGTGTACAACAACAATGTTAAGATAATCTAATCATTACATATAAGATAATCTAATCATTACATACATACTTTGTATTTGTTTTCTGTTTTAAAATACGCGCCATTAAGTTTGAGATATTCAGACTCTATGATTTTATGTTCACTAGACCTCACTTCCGGTACAAGCTCTGTAAGAGGTAACACGTTCCTATACTTATTAGTAAACCTCATTAACATAAAAGGGTTTTACTGCTTTTATCCCAGCATATCCTAATAAACAAATTATTCCAAAAATATTACACTGCAACATTGCTATAATGTTGTACTGCAATCTCTCTGAGGGCGGACATTTCAACGTTGCCCTGTCGGAAATAATTCTACAAAATTCTACAAGAAAATTAAATATAACTGCCAGAATCTATAAAATTCTACGTAAATTTAAAAAGTGTTATGAAAATCAATATGAAAATGCTAGAATTGGAACACTTTTGTTAATTTCTGTAATATTCTACAAGTAAGCAGATGTTTTAATTCTTTAAGATATTGTTGTTTCACAAATTTTTAAAACCAGTAAAATTTTGTACTAATTTTTACAAAATTGTACATTTTCATGAAATATTACTCACAATAATTTCTTGATTTGAGAACATTGTAATTTGTGGTACTATTTTGTAGATATTTTTACAAAAAAATAAATGTTTCAACGAAGATATAAAAATTTCTACAAATTTCTATTTCAAGTCAATTTTTTGTAGTTATTTATAGAAATTTTTTCGCTAGGGTGCTGCAATCCTCCAGAAACGTTGCAGCAATGTTGCGCAACGTTGCTACAATATTGCAATCTTGCAATGTAATCTTCCTGCAATCTTTCTGTGCTGTGTGGGTTAAAGTCATTTTTAGATAGCCAAGCCTGTCGAAGTTCTCGTTAGAGAGCCGCGCGACATAGCACTTTCTCGTAAGGAGAAAACCGCACGCGGTATTACATATATTATAAAAATATATATAATATTTAGCATCTCGGACTTTGCATTGCAATATCTTCACTCATAGGGCACGTAGGAGAAAAATAAAAACACTTTTATTATGCAAATCGAACCCAAGCTATCGATTGAGCGCACTTAGCAGTTCGTCGGATCAGCCGTTGTTGAGATCCGAAAATCTGAGGGCCCGTCAACCCGTGTACATCGCGTAAACTACACGGTCGGTCTCGCGCGCGTGATTCTAGCTATACACTTATACCTGGCGCGATACACTATAATCGTGATTATATCACATACTTTTCACAATTCTTAAAGTTTTCTTTTACATTCTTAAAATAAGTTTTAAGTTCACCTTAAATAAAAGTATAAAGTGTCCAAATTTACTTTTCATATTTCTGATTTTTCTAAAGTAAAATTTTAAGGTTTTTAAAATATATTTTCCCAAGGTCTTGATATTTCTTTGTTCAACAGAGGTTCGACTGTCTTGTCCGGAGGAAAGTTTGACGATTGGTTCAGCAAAAATATTGGCAACACCATCGAAAATGTAATAAACATGCCAAGACCGCGATATATCAAATCTCACCTGCCGTGGGACTTATTGCCGAAGCAGCTTCACGAGAAAAAGCCAAAGGTGATGACGCAGCGCGTATAAAGAAATGAAAGATAAAAAATGAAGACAAAGAATCGCGATTATTCCTTTTGTAATGTGTTAACTTCCCTTCTTCGCAGATTATTTACGTAACGAGAAATCCAAAAGACGTCTGCGTCAGTTACTACCACTATTTACAAGTATTCCACTCTATGAATTATAGCTTCAACGAGTTTGCGGAAATGTTTCTGCAAAGTGTCTGTACGTTAAACAACATGCATTATCGACTTAAAATAAAAACTTGCCTCGACGTTACAAATTTTATATAAATTTTTTAATGTAATTCATGTCTTTGTAATATCAAAATAATGTTATTTCTAAAACATTAAAATTGGATTTAAATGTAGTTTATTCTTTGCCCATAACTGGCAAATCTGTCTTTTATTTGTTAAAAATCGTCTACTGTTGGCCTTGCTACGCGTAACTACTTCCAACCGTTGCGACGAAAAATTAAAATAGATAATTAATGGTGTTACACCAGTGGACGCGATACTGAAGCAATAATCCCACATTTAAGAACATAGTTACGTATTATAACTTACATATATAAGATCGTCAAACAGGTAGCTTGAAAAGAA